AATAAAAAATCTTATGCATACCATTTGATAGATTTGTTGATCTTTTATGTATATTAGTATTGAAATTGATTATTTTAAAGCAAATGTTGAAATGGTGGCGAGTGCTCTTATTACCCGCCTAGCGCTCGTATTATCCTCTGAGCAGGCTAATACGTATATGAGCATCCTTAGGAGTAATATAAGCATAGGTAACTTTTTGTAAGAAAGTATACAGAAATAAAATATTGAAATATATATTGTGACGTGACGTCGATTGTTTCGTCTGTCACAAGAGTCGTATGACCCGACGGGAAAGCGCAACTTTAGCGAGTTCTGTATCTTTCTATTTTTAGAAAGCGAACATATTTGCGCACCTTTTTTTAAATGTTATTCTGTCTATTTCGCATCTGTTTCGTGTATTCGTGCGTCCCACAGATTTTTTGTGTCGGTTTTTGTCTTTCTTTTCCATACGCTATCGTATTGCGAGTTTTTACAGAATAATTGGCTCTTTATGATTTTGTGAATTTTGCGTCTCACCGGATTACCAGTGAAGAGAAAAGATTATGAGGACCGAGATGAAGGAGGAGAGAAATTGAGGATGAATCGGCGGAGGCGCTCAGCATCCTACAAGGAGAGTAGCGTACAGGTGATGTCGCTCCACATTTTAATATATTTCGCTTTGTTTCAAAACCTGTTGCTCTATCGCACCATATTACAGGCGAACATCGCAGAGGAATAATGAGGGTAGTAACAGGAGATAGCCCAAGATTCGGCGAGAGACCTCACGACGGAGCTTTTGGAGACCTCCTTTGAGAGGACGGAACTAAGGTCGAAAGTGAAGGTACCCGACCACTAGTGTGCCACCACGGAAATGCGAGTCTCTCGCATAACAAAAAGTTTCCTTAGCGGCCGAAAGGAATCCTGCTGCTTGGATTGAATTCCGTGCGCTAGGACACAGAATACATGGATGAAATGGCTCGCGTTATTCGCCCGCAGGGTCGCGCGCACCAATTAGGCGACAATAAGGACCCCCCCTCCTCCCCCGTGGAGATCGCGATCAC